ACCAAAATATGTGGCAGTAAGGACAAGTTACTTTTTTTTTTTTTTTTTTTTTCTGACAAATTTTATAGCTTCTCCCACTCTAGCGATGTCATCCACTCTAGCCCTCAATTGTGCAATACACACCCATTATAAACTCAAGTGATCTAAAGTGACTTAAAACTGATAATTCAAAAAAACTACAAGATATCAAAAAGTTGAATACAAGTTTAATAGCTGAAAGTCTTGTAAACATTTTAAAGTTGAATGAAGTCTGTAGTTGAAGAGGCTTAAGCTTTCAAGGATTTGAAAGTTTCTCCATTCATTTAAATTGCATAAAAAGCTTAATATTTTGAAAATTATAAAAAGCAGAAAAAAAGTTGTATACATTCGATAATCTACAGAACAAGCTGAACGTTTTGAAGTTGAACAGTTTCAGTTTGAAAAAAGTAGGAAGGAGTAGTTAGACCGTGGAAAGGCAGAAGAGGTAAGAATAATGAATGGAATGTTTGTTTTTTGACCTGACAATAACATATAGTGCTATATGTATTGCTTCATTCAGCAATCCCACCAATAAAGGGAAACATTTTTGACCTGACAATAACAGAGTGGGATTGCTTCATTCATCAATCCCACCGATAATAAACGGAATGTTCATTTTTCGACCTAACACAACATATAGTGGGATTTCTTCATTCAGCAATGCATATATAAAGATTTGAAGAGATAAGATAATATATGCCTTCAATGGTATTGCATTGCAGGCACATGACTAGAAAATTCCTGGAGAAATTTTGTATGTGCCTGCTGCTTGGTGCGTGTACTTCACTCCTCACTTTTCAATCTATACAAAGGACATTACTTTAATTTTCATTCATGTTGTAGAGACTTATCCTGACACTGATCTCAGTCACTGCAGGTGTCCCGGAAAAAGCCTTTTGAAGCTGTCACGACTGGCCAAAATAACCTCACACTGATGGTTTCAAACACAAATTTGTCCCCACAACGATAGCAAGACATGTATACACACATGTACATACCCTAACAGAAGTTGATCTGCAATCAAGTTATACCACTATATCCCCATGAAGACGATAGCTTCTAAAATCAAACTTTTTTGACCTACCTTCTTACCTTTTTGAGTGTGTGTGTGTGTGTAGCGGTAGAGCTGCCCAACAGAACCTCCAGTAAGTTCTTTTTACCTGGTTGAGACTCTTATTTTGAAGGTGAATATCAAAAAAGTAAGATGGTGTTTGTGTGTGTCTGTCAATGTGTGTGTGAGTATTGTTGTGTGTGGCAGTACAGCTGTCTTCCAGAGAGCCTCTAAAAAGCTTCTGTTACCAGGTTGAGACACTTATACATTTAATATCCATATGGTGGTGACGGAGTTTGTGTGTCTTTTAACCTTCAACCTTTGAAGTTGTCAGGACTGGCCAAAATGAATTAACAACTAACACCTAACCTAATAATGGGTTTTAACCAAAATTATCCTCACAATTATAGAAAGAGATGTACACAAATGCAAAGAACCACACATGGTACACGCAAAGTACACCCTGTTTTAGCTCAGAGTTGGATTCATACCTGAGTTAAAAGGCTAAGAATCAATGAGTTTAATTAGCCAATCAGAATCAGCTTTGCCCATTTCTGCCCAGTAACACTTGCTCCTGAATTTGTATTGTAGTCAATGGGAGAGGTTGAGGGTACTCCCATCACTTCCTCAAAAACTGTAAAAGATGTCAGAACGAGACCAAAACTGGGTAATAAAAGTGCTTGTCTGACTTTTTTGAGGAAAATTTTCAGGGATGGCAGTTAGAGGGCACAGTTGGCTCCAGTTAGCGAGTGGAGCTGTGTCTAAAGTAAGACAGCAGACATCGCTGAAGATGTAATAAATATCACAATCCTCTACACTGAAGTTACAACACCACAATGAGCAAGCTAGAGAGAGGGAGAGAGAGAGAAGCTACTGCTATCTTTTAAGCTAAAGTAACTAGCAGATCTGAACAGCATGTAAACAACTGCTGAGTTAGTGAAAGACACTAAAAGGAGCAGAGAGCTCTAAGTGCTGGAGTAGAACTAGTGTAAGTTTAAATGTACAGCAGGTAGTGAGACACTGTGATGAAGAAAACAGCAACATTAACTGTGTTCAGACAGAGCAACAATACGCTCTACCAGTAACAGAAACTGACTGGAGATGGGACACCACAGCATGTCAACACATGAACGGTGTTAGTAGTATTAGTGAAAATTCATCAGTAGAAGTAAATCACTGTGTAAAAATGTTCTCATATAAAAGAACAAAGTAAGTCAGTTAAAATGTTTCTGAGTAAATGTGTTACTGTGTTACATTTGAAAATTGGGATGGAGGGGTAAAACATGTTATAGGGTGATAATAATAATATATGATAAAAGTATAAAATTTTTATCTTTAGATTACCAGATCAGTTCCCAGGTGAGAACAGCAATGAAATCAACCAATTAATTGTAGTTAGGCACTTTGGAGCCTGAGCATACACCTGATAATTACTAATATGCTTAGCTGGCAATTTATTATTAAAATAGTTTTAGATAGTTGTTGATTCATTAATCACTGTGGAGGATGTAATTTAAATTACATTATTCACTATACACATATAGCCTACTTTCAGTAATAAAAATGGGAGGGTGGTGATGGCGGTGTGTGTGTGTGTGTGTGTGTGTGTGTGTGTGAGTGTGTGTGGGGGGGTAGCAAACCCACATTATACCCACTAAAATAAAGTACAATGCACAACTGTACACATCCACATACACATACAAGCACATACACATACACAGTGCTGATTTGCCTTATACCTGCTCTCATACTTGAGAGTAAAAGGGGTAAGAGTTAATGAGTCCAATTAGCCAATAAGAATCAGGTTTGTCCATTTCTGCCCGGATACTGCGTTAGTAGCACCTGCTGAGACCTGAGACCTGCTGTTTGCTATCAGCTTCTGAATTTGTATTGCAGTCTATGGGAGAGCTGCTATGATGGTTGAACATTTCCTGTAGCTCAAAGCTCAAAGTAAATTCAACATGTCTGCTGCTGTATTTACTGTTGCACTGTTCAGTCTGAACTGTAACCTCTCTATAAGCACTAACTTGTAAACAGCTTTCTGCCTGTGTGTGTGTGTGCTTGCTCGTTGGCTTTTGTGTTTCTAGAGCAAAAAATGTGGACACAGGAGTAAGTTACAGAAAAATGTCACTACTGCATTTCATGGGAAATCAGCTCCTGAATTTGTATTGCAGTCAATGGGAAAGGTGGAGGGTACTACCATTGCTTTGAGGCTCATGTTTAAATTCTGTAAGTCTCTGTGCTTAGGTAGACACTTTCTACGAAACAGCACTATTTCTCTACTATAGAGGTGTGAAGACTGAAATATGTGGCCGTGAAGAGGAGCTACACAGAATTTTTTCAGGAGTTCTAGAGCTTCTCCCACTCTAGCGATGATGTTATCCACTAGCTCTGAACATTTTGTGTAATACACAGCCATTGTAAAGTCTGAAGCGGTCTAAAAACGACACAAAACGTAAAGTGCGATTTTGTGTAAACTGTAACAGTTTTTAAAATACTGATTTAACCCAATAGTCTTAAGTCTTAATGTTTCAACCAATTTTCTATGCTGAAGTATGACGCAGTAGTAGAGCTCCAAAGTTGGTCATTTTGAAAATGTCTCCCCATTCATTCTCTATGGGAATTTTTTCACCTTTTATCGCCATTTACGTCGCCATGGTTACTCAAATCTCTTCGAAAAGTGCTATTGCATTGTAGGCATATAATATAAATATATGCCTGCAATGCTAGGCAAAAATATAAACACTGTTTCAAACAAAATGTCAGTTATGTTAATCAAGTTAAATGACAGTGTACTCAAGTCATTACCACATTAATACATGAGTACTCAATATTCATGGATTGGATACATCCATTTTTGAACTCAGCCTTCATGTAGATCTAAACTACACATGTAAAGTTTTATGACTGCATCCTGCAGGTTGTGATGCTATCTCGGTGACAAGATTTGTCCACAGGCAGACAGACAGACAACTGCTGAAGTACTCAAAACCACCTCTGGATGTGTCAGTGTCTTAAGTATCAAATTTTGCCATGATGACACACACAGAGACTCACAAGGTGAAAACAATAGCAGCTGGTACTGTGATCCCAGTGCGGGAAAATAAAAGCAGTGACAGGCTGAGAAAGACCTTAAAAAACTAAAATAAGAATAAAATCTTATCATTTGACTGTATCATTTCATGTTATTATAAAAAAAGTGTGTTTATTTTTAAAATATTTGCCTGCAAAAACAGCTGAGAGGGTGAACATATACTTGCTAAAGATCAGCATGTTAGTGTTAAGCTTTTACTTCATTTTCTCACTTGTATGTCAAATGTCTAGAATTAGCATGTAGTATAGAACTGGGCACAACCCTTTTGTTGACCTCATGTTTACAAATTACTGTTTTGAATGAGATTTTGTGAGTCCATCTCAAAGATGTTTCAATATACAGCATTCTTTATTGTATTTGTGTGAACAGCTGTATAGACTGAATGTAAAGCAGTAATTAGTCAGTAAATACCAAATGTTTAGGTGGGAAATGACTATTAATTGACTGTAATTATTAACCAAATGATGAACCAAATGACAAACAGGACTGAGGGGAAAACAAGGCACCACATTTTGTAGACAACGTTTTATATCACTGTAACTGTTCCAGTCTGCTTCTGCTGCTGAAATCCTTCAATTAATAAAACAGCTCTATGAAAAATAAATAGACATTTCTCATAGTACATTACAGTGCAAAAAGACATTCTGCTCAACTGTCTCTCTGCTCAAATTCTTACTTCAGCATCAGCATAAATACAGATACTTGGCAACACATTATTCAGAGCGAATTAAAAAAAATCATTACATTAATATTGAACTCTGATTATTTCCAGCTTCATGAACTACGAATAACAATGGAGATTATTGCACTAATGAACGAGAAGTCTGCATACCCAAGTTGAAGCTGTAAGAACATATGCTTTTTATTGACCAAAGACAAAAGGGATAAAACTATATACATTGATATATATTCCAGGCATTCCCCGTCATCTAGAGTTTAACAGAGTTAAAAAAGAAATAAACACCTTTAAAAAAAAAAAAATCTTGGTTCCGTAGTTTGACTTTTCACCCCCATGCTCCTGGGTCACTGTCCATTAAAAGGTCCAAAGTTTCAACTCAACCCATCACACACCAGTATATAGTGATAGGAAGTAGATATACAAAAGGAAGATGGGGTATATGAGAAGGGGCTTCTTCGTTTTAAATTCATCTCCGACGAGCAGTGAAGCAGCACTGTACGCAGCCCAGAACACTCCGAACAGCTGCAACATGAGAACAGACAGAAACATCATTACACTCAGGATTTATCCATCAGTATTGATGATTAACAAATAACACATAACTCAGAACTTACTTTGTCATTATCATGGTTTGGATTTTACTAACTGTTTTCATTTTCTCCAACCAAAAACATGGAGCATTTTTATTCACATCTATACATTGATTTATTTACTGACCTATTCTGGGTAGTTCTTGTGTTTCGGTGCAAGTTTTAGAATAAAAACAGTAATTTCTTGTGTTTTTGGAACGTGTACTTCCTCAGCTGACATGGTGTAAGTGTATACAAATATCACTCAGATAATTCAACATGCTACTTTTTCCAGAATATTAGTAATGTCGGAGGTCTAGCCCCACCCTTCAGCCAGTCAACATTTGAGGGAAGGACATTGAGGTGGTGCACACTTATAAATACCTAGGTGTGCACCTGGACAGTAAACTGGACTGGTCCCTGAACACGGATGCCATCTACAGGAAGCGGCAGAGCCGGCTCTTTTTCCTCAGGATGCTCAGGTCCTTTGATGTCTGCAGTGAAATGCTGCACATGTTTTATCAGTCAGTGGTGACCAGTATACTCTTTTATGCTGCGGTCTGCTGGGGCGGCAGACATGAACACAAAGAGACTGGACAAGCTGGTCAAAAAGGCTGGGTCTGTGCTTGACAAGAGACTGGACTCACTCAGGACTGTTGTGGAGACACGCATGCAATGTAAGATGGAGGCCATCTTGGACAATACCAACCACCCTCTCCACAACATTCTGGCAGGACAGAGAAGCAGCTGCAGCTGCAGCAAGCGTCTCATCTCACTGCGCTGCAGAACAGAGAGGTTCAGGAGATCCTTTGTTCCCACTGCCATCAGGCTATACAACACCTCAGCCAAAGGAAGTGGACTAATCTAATTATTACTGTTTATTATCAACTGTTATTATTATTATTATAAAAGGGATGTCCCATGGTTCAGGGATTGTTACATGGAAAACAAATTTATCATGTCAGCTGTTACAAAACTTGTGATATTGGGTTCTATAAATAAAATATGACATGACTTAGTGTGGCTGCTGTAACTGGGCAGATGCTGTGAATAATACAGTATTTCTCATAATCATAGATCAGGTTTATTGAAGACAAAACCTTAGTAAAAATATTGAGTATTTATAAAAATAAAAAATATGCACAGATAAGAAAAAAAAGAAGCCACAAGCACATGACAAATTAAAATGTCCCACCCCAACCTTCAGCCCAAAAAGGTTTGCATTTCAGACATATTGAATGGTGGACTCTCCCTCCTATCAACTGTCATTACACACACTGTCGATCCATTGTAAGTTTTGTTTTTACACATGACAGATAAAAGTCTGTGTGGGCTTTGACTCACTTTGATTAGTGTAGACACAACCTCGAACCCCCCAATCACTAAGAGCAGGGGGGCTATGACGATGAGAGGAAGAAGGGAATATCCAATCACTCCAAGAACCTGGCCGTAGGAAACCTACTCAGAACAACAACAGGACTCCATGAGAACATGTTTTTGTTTTACAATAACAAGTAGAAGTGTCAAGTCTGAGGATACTGTGACTGTCTGAAGAAGATGACTATGTGTCAGCTGCACTTACTTCACCACCAAGAACACGGGCCAGAAGGAAAATCGTTAGTGACCCAAATATCCAGATGGTGACAATCCAAGACACGACCTGTTAGATAAAAGCAGATTTTAGTGTCAACACGGAGCACTGTAAGAAGTTAACAAAACAATTATGTGACAGTCATACATTGCCATCGTCATAATTTACCATATTAACTAAAACAGCTCCATAAATGTCTGTAAATTAATTCTTATATATTCTTGTTGAAGCTGCTGAATTTTTACTTCTGTAAATTCATCTTAACGTGTAAACATCTAAGCATTCATTGTTTTCTCCTGAATTTAATCTGGATGTGATGGACACAAAGGCCCCTGAGACACTTAAAAGCTTTTCCCACAGCAGGAACTAAACTAACGCAACATACTGTGTATCTGTTATCACAGGTTCTGCTTATGTTTCCACTGATCTCTTCCCCATCTGGGGATGAATCCCAGGAACTAAATTTGGGCCATGGCTCAGAGCAAGCTCCAGGTACTTTCAGGTAGTTGGTAGTAGTGCACTTTCTGTTGTAACTGATCATTACAACACAGATAACTAAAACAAACAAAACACCACTGTACAACTGCATCTGCATGGACCAGGACAAAAAATACTGAAAAGTTAGAATCAAGTCCACTTGTCCAGACTCATTGGTATTTGGGGAGAGATGTCTCACCATCTGGCAGAAATGGGAACAGACCACAGAGCCAAACAGTGCAGGTAACAAAATAAAAAGATAATTTTAAGATTAAGAATCACAGTATGGTCTCATATGCTGGGTGCTGTTTTGCTGATGGACATGTGAGCCTGAGCAGTGCTCTGGATTCAGTATGAAACAACATGTACGAAAATCAATGACAATATCGCCTCTTCTCTCATCGCTGTCTACAATGTCACACAAAAGGGTTTTTTATAGGATTTTTTATGATTTATGTCCAAAACAGACTAGCTTGTAAAACACAGTAGAAAAGCAATGAAGACCTCCATGTCAGAGGTAGTTAAGTTCCTGGGGAAAAGGCCTGACAGTGTTAGAACAGTGTGGAAACACAGCTGTATTTCTCATGTCCTGCTCACCCTAAACTGTCCATAGATGGAGATCATGGAGAAGAGCAGCACCACAGCTAGAGGGCCCCAGAAATCCGGGTTGTCTCTGACCACCTGCCGGTTGTAACCCAGTGATGGCATTGGCATCAGTACACAACGAATCTTGTAATAGATGTCCTTCAGGTCAATGTCCAGCTCCTCCCTGCTCACACACAAGACCACACTATTACACACACTGGATTAAATCTGTTTGCAACTGTATTAAATAGCAACAGGTAGGATGGTTACATCATCAGGATGATGTTTCCTTCAAGTCAGATCTGAACCCATTCAAAAGACATTTCCATAATGTTTCAAACTGTTTGGCCATGATGTGTGAATGAAGTCAGTGGTGAAGACACAAAGTAGATGTGAGTAATATCACCACAAGATAGTGTCCACTCATGATTGAGCTGGTAGGAATATCCTCAGTGTACTACTTTGCACAGCAACTGTACCTGAGAGATGTGTGATCAGGTTGATAGCTGTTCCTGCTCCTTTGTAGATGGGTAGGAGCAGCCACTAAAAGTATTGTATGAGCCAGATACACCTATCATAGCTGGTTTTAGAAATCACCTACTTCTGTTGTAGATTCTCTTATACTGAAGAACAAGACACTGAATTTCCTCTCTTCCAGAACAGTTTTAAACTATCCCAGTTACATTTAACAACAGCCCTATTTGTACAGAAAAAGATAAAGCTCTGATTAAAAGAAAGGTGCGAGTTAAAAAAGGATTGAACATATACTCACAAAAGAGGTTTGCTGTCTTCACTGTCCTCCTCCTCCACCTCCAGTAGCCAGCCGTAGCCTCGTTGCCTCAGAAAGGTGGTGGCATATGGGTCTTTACCACTGTCACTGCCCATGTTTAGTTTAATGTCTGGGGAACTGATGGTGCCGCTTAGCTCTGTGGAAAAAGTGTTTATTTACTTATTCATGCATCACATCTTTTATATCTAGGACTCAGCTGCTGTTTGAAATCTGTGTTTCTTTATCATTCATCTGTATATACATAATTAATTTATTACAAATATATCCAATGTGTAGTTAATTACATTTAATATTCAAGGAAAAAATTGAAGCCTTGCTGTACTGCTAAATAATACCAACGCAATAATGTGCATTTCATTACAGTGCACTACTATCATTGTGTATTCTGTATATATTAATATTACAGAAAATGTCATAGCTCTATTCATATTATATTATTCTGTTTTATGTTCATTATATGTTTCTCATCTGCCTCATTTATTTTAGTGAATTTCCATTTGGTCTTAATAAAACATTCTCTATCAGAAAACGTATTTCTGCTTTACTTTTAAATCACCTGGACATGTTATGTCTGGTCTCAATCCGCCATAGGATGTTATCAGGATGTGGAAACTTTATGTGTCACTAGTGTAAACAATATTGGAAGAGCAGTTCTTATGTATTATTTTAAATGGCCTCATAACTTAGACGAAAAAACAGCTTAAATAAAACCTCCAGTTTTCCAGTGGTGTTTGTCAGGTACGTTCTTTTCAAGCCATCATGAACAACTTGTACTGGTACTGAAATTAGTTATCCAACCTAATGATAGCTTTAACATTTAATAATGTAACGTTACAGTAGCTATTTCAAATAGCAAAGCGTCGACACACACCTCATTTTTCGACTGACTGCATTTGTGTCTAGGTGATTTTACTACTTTATGACAGCTAAAATAACGCACGTAAACAGGCCAGTGGTTAGCTGTTTTAAGGCCTGCTAGCCGTGTAGTGCTGCTAGCATTAGCCTACCTTCAGCCTCAGTCGAAGAGACGAACGTGAAATCTCCGTTGTTGGGAGAGAACTGCATCTTGGTTTTCTGTCACTGCCACACGGCTCAGGTCCAGACAAATGACATTTAAATCAGCAGTCACTGAAATGTGTCGGGATGCGATAATAACGCTGTCATTAGATCACAGCTCATCAGTGAAGTTGAACTATCATTTTGTTTTCGGTCCGTCTGTCAATGCTGCAGCTGGAAGCAGGAAGTCCAGAGGATGCTGGGTAATGAGACACGTCTTATGATACATTCAGGGCTTGTCATAAAGCTGGGACATTATATGTATATATTCAATCAATCAATCAATCAATCAATCAATCAATCAATCAATCACTCAATCTATCTATCTATCTATCTATCTATCTATCTATCTATCTATCTATCTATCTATCTATCTATCTAAGGTATGAATTATGTCAATAAAATGGTAAATTATGTTTTTTTAATATTTAATATTACTTTAATATTTGATTAATATAATGCTACCCAATAATAATATTCTTGTCCACTGTGTTACTGTGATGTCATTGTGATTTTTCTTTCACTGTTTGTTTGTTACTGTTATTTGTTCAATAAAAGTTTATATTATTAAAAGGGACACTGTGAACACGATATGGAAACCAGACGGCCGTGGTCGGTTTAATAGGCTATCCATGTATTACTGTGGGCACTTTGAAATCAAGTAGAACGTATTCGTTCGTCGTTAGCACCATAGACACATGTCTATGGTTGGCACAGCAGCGATGTGAACATATCAACATCCTGTAGAAGTCACGTGTTAGAGCAACCCTTTTTTTTCTGTCAATCCCGCCCCCTTGGTCCATCTGACCAATAGCAGCGGGTCATACTGAACTACGTCTTTTGCCGCTAAAACTAAACTCGCTCCAGCTTCTACCTCATCAAGCTGCCCGTTTCAGTGGATAAAACAACAGGATAAAAGTAAGTACCATGAGTTTTACATTAACTATATTACTTGTGTGTGTTGTCTCGGTCAGTGTGTTAAACTTTTCAGTCACAGTCTACGCGAACATCGACAACAGCTGCTGGTCACTTATTTCGGTTACTGTTCCCTTACTCTGCTGTTAGCAACTAAAAGAAACGTTTGTGTCACCTGTCTGTGTGTGTGTGCAGAGAAATTTAAAACCTCCAATTGAATGTTGACTTACTTATTAATAAACATACATAACATTTATAATTGTCCCGGTTGACTGCTGTATTCTGCATACAGCTTCTTCAGTTACCATTAATGTTACCTGAAATCTGCTGTTAGCTATCTTTAACGTTAGCTCCACCTTGCTTTTTTGCTTTTTTTTTTTGGTGGTTGAAAATGGCCTCGTAACTACTAAACCTAAAAACAGGGATTTGATGATTTGATGCATCAGTGAGAGGTACATCACTTCTATACGGTCCTAAGTGCAAAAAGCCAACGAAGTATTTAGTACAGCAAGTTAAAATGTCCAGATCTTTTTGTTAAAATAAAGTTTCCATCCCTGCCCCTGCCAACCCTGAGAGCTGCCTCCTCTAATGCATGAGCCATTAGCAGAAACAGATGATGGTTATTTGTAAAACCTGATCATTGACATCAGATCTCAGTTGGTTATATCCAGTTGTTATTCCATGTGTTAAAGTGTCCATCTATTAGAGACAGTGACAAATGGTTCCAGTTATGTGTTTGTCCTACAGTCTGTGTCTCTAAATCTGAGGAATGAGGAGTTGAATCCAGTTTCTTTCAGTGAGCAGGACAATAAATTATTATGACATTAACATTTACAGAAAATAGAAACATCCAAAGCCTTAACAATAAAATGAGATGGAAAACAACAATTACAACTAATTACAATCAGTTCAAATAAAGCTTTAAGGTTTCTCGGCACAGAGTGCCACAGGTGAGGGGCAGGACAGTGAAGGCTTCAAAAAGCCCAGCAAATCTACCACCATGATCAGGCCTTTTCCATAGTAAGATCATTATAAAAGCATAGATACAGTATAGTACCATAACTAAACTATATGTGCTGAATATACACTGCACAATGATACACTATATATACAGGTGCAAATTGTGAAAGCATGTGTGGATATAGAGCTCCTGCATGCAGCTGTTTGTTTCTTTTAATTTTTTCAAACAACAGAACAAGAAGGCACATATAAGTACAAAAATACAACATATATGATAATAAATAAACCGAGTAAAATCATATATTTGCTCATGATGTTGTGTGGTTTCTCACTTTAGTCTCAGCTGATGGTTTGTCAGACTTTTGCAGTTCTTTGGCTCCCATTTATGAGAAGCGGAGACGCTGGAACCTTGTCTTTCAAAGTATTTTCCCCTCACTGCATGGACAATTTTATATTAACTTAAGATTCAGGTTGACAAGACATAATTATTGTTCTTTTTTTCTGACCTTTTTACTCTCAGGAGATGGTCTCAAGGTTTTATGTTATTAACGATGAGCTCTGTCGGTGGTGGATTCTTTGACAGGTTGAGTGTTACCCAGATCAGCAGCTGAACATGGGAATCTCTGGACTGCTACAGTTCATCAAAGATGCAGGAGAGCCCATCAGTGTGAAGAAATACAGAGGCCAGACAGTGGCTGTGGACACCTACTGCTGGCTGCATAAAGGAGCATTTTCATGTGCTGAGAAGCTCGCGAAAGGAGAACCAACTGATCAGTAAGCATATTTATTATTTTACATGAATGAAAAAAGAAAAGCTTTTGAGAAGAACATCAACATTTACCTTGTAATCTACCTGAAATAAGGGTTGAATGTTTAGAACTAATGAAGGCCTTTTAATTTTTTTTTACCTAGGTATGTGTGGTACTGCATGAAATTTGTGGAAATGCTGTTGACCTTCGGTGTCAAACCAGTGCTGGTGTTTGATGGACGCAATCTGCCATCCAAACAAGAGGTGGAGAAGGCTCGCAGAGAGTGAGTATTTACCTTGATTATGGATGAATGTGTGGATGCAGGACACACATGCATCCAGGACATCTAACCTCCTGGAATAAAAGGGAAATAAAATAGAAGGGAAGTTACTTTGGCAGGTTTGTTATTTTTGCATTTCAGTTTAAATGTGTGAATTTCAACAGAGAGACTAATCACTGAGAAAGTCTATATTGGATACATACATTCATATACAAAAAAACTGAAATTGTAACCTTGTGATGGCCCAAGATGGACGGAAGATGGAGTGTTTACAACCATCCAGAGGGAGAATTAAGTGTCTGTACCAAATTTCATGGTTGTTGAGACATTTCACTCAAAACCACAAATGTGAACCTCAAGGTGGTCCTCGAGGAAATCTCATGGTATCAGCAAAGGCAACATTATCTGGTAACCTTGAATGCCTGTACAAAAAAAGAGTTGATTGAGATATTTTACTGAATAATTAAAAACACTGACCTGCGGGTGGTTCTTGATGAAATGTAAAGGAATCACCAATGTCTTTGGATTCATCCTCTGGGATGGGATGGGATGGGATGGGATGGGATGGATGTGTGAAACTGTTATTCTTCTTTTTCATCTTTCTTCTATGTGTGGGAAAGACATTATGTTTTTCTTTTATGCAAACTGATTGATTAAGAAAGTGTCTTCATCCATTTATTTAATTGTGGGAGTGGAAACGAGGCTCATGCACATGTGCCAAATTTCTCGATGAGTGAGATTTATAAGGTGGAACCATGCGAACGCACGGCTTTATAATGGTGATGAAAAGAATGTGCATGTATATTTCTCGTTTTGTGTGCACACATAGTTTTAGTCATGAATCTACACAGAATTTTCTGGCCCCTGGTTGCAGGTTATCGGAGTCAAAGGAGGTTCAACCAGTTATTAAATCCAAGGTTCACTGGCTGTTTCCACCAGCACTGTGTATGAGTAATGGCTATGTTCAATAAAGACTAAAAAGATTGTAATTGTTTGTATGATATCAGCTCAATCACATTGTGTTTGTCTTTACTTGTGACTCAGAAGATCAGATCAGATTTTATGACTAATCAATGCAGAAAACAAGGCCATTCAGAGGTTCACTGACTTTTTCATTTGTTTCTGAGAAAAACTGATGGCCTCTTCCAAACACAAAAATCTAGTGTTGTTCATACCTGGTAACAAGCACGCTCAGACAATGCTTGGTTTGTTTAAAGGACTGCATTCCAAAACAGCGACAGAACAACACTGTTAATGTTGTGTTGAGAGGAATGTACAGACTTGTAGACAGGTGAGACCAAACACCCCTCCCACAAACAAATGCTTTAACATCAGAGACCAAAAGGCATCAAAAAATCCTTGACAAGGAATCTGAGTTTGCCACAACACAACAACCTTCACCTGAGCTTTAAGACACCTTGAGATTTTACTATTTTAACTGTATTAAATATAGCCATTGTGTTGTTTGTTGGGTTATTAATTATGTTTCATTCATGCACCCTTCAGGCGCAGAGAAGCGAACCTTCAAAAAGGCCGCCAGCTGCTACGTGAAGGAAAGTTGTCTGAGGCCAGAGACTGTTTCACTCGCTCTGTTAACATCACTCCAGCCATGGCTCATAATCTTATTAAGGTGAGTGAATTCAGGATGACCACCAGAGATGTTACCTAATGCCTGGTTATGCATCACGTACATGCGTATGACACTGGAGACACAAGCATCCTGATAAAGGAGCCTGACACCAAACAGTCACCTACAGAAGTTACTCATCAAGATTCAGAGGGACATTGAACAATGGCAGAGATCTATAATTCATAGAACCCCAGTTACATTTGTAACCTCCATTCTTTTTCATTCTTCCTGACTCCTGGACAGTATGTAATACTGGATGTCCTGTACCAACAAGGTCATGAGGAATCTGCACTCAGTATGCCTCAGCTGCTGATGAGAGGTGGCCACATTAACCCTGTGGAAGCTCACACAGATACAGGAAGAAGCCTAAGTTGTCTAAGCAGGAATGTTACTCAGTAGAATGACCTTCAAAGCAGCCCATGAAGTGGAGACACCTTGATACAGAGTTAACTCAGGGGACCTGTTGAGCCTGTAAACTTGTGATAGAGTCTCTGTGTACACAAGGCACAACCCTTACTGTTGCCCTCATGACAAACAAAGAGCACACCAGAACCCAGCTACATGTCTATAAGGTGTCTCAGTAATTGAAGAGAACAAAGTGGACTGACTCCAGGATGCTGTTCCTTTGTTTTGGTACAAAAACTGCTAAATTGATGGGCTGATTGATGTGAGAAGCTGAAAGAGCCACATGACAACCCGAGACTAGACCAAGATAAGAATTCCAATGCAAACACTTCTGGCAACAGACTAGGCACAAGGCAAGCCAACTCATGTAGCAAATGTGAGGAGAGAGCCAGTCTTTCCAGACAGCTCTCTGAAGTCAGCCTGTTCCAAGGGTTCAGATGGTGCTGAGCATGATGCTTCCTGAACCATCCAAATCCCATGAAGATAAAATGACATGTGGGGGCTGGAACTGCAGAGCACCTTTCAGAGAATGTGACCCTACAGTCTAACTGAGCATCCAGGTCCGCGTGTTGACCCTTGCACCAACTGCACATTTATGTGCTGGAAATAATGTCCTGTGTTTCCACACAGCCCCTCAACCAGGAGGGCCTTGCTTCTCCAAGGCTTTAGAGGCTGAAGACACTGGCTTGAAACTGTCACCATCCTAAATTTAGTCTGTTTAGCCAAATCTGCATAAAAGGGGCCCTAGTGGTATGTTATTGCCACCACCACTTTGGCCAGCCACTGGAGGACTCAATTTCATTTGTTTGCTTTTCTGAAAGGGAGAGATGAGGCTGAGAATGAAATCCACCCTCTGAAAATAAGCATCCTTCAAGTCAGTGCTTGTAAAGTCATCTCCCTCTGACACTGGAGAAGAATGTGAAAATAAAAATCCTTTAAGAACTGGTTCAGCCACTGTACTTCTTCAGAACAAAGAAGTAAGTTGAACAGAACTGTTAACATAATTGAGGGTACCTTAATTTCTTTAGAAGCAAAGAAATTTCCTGACTGAAGACCAGATACTTTAAGGGGGGTCTTTGACAACAGTCGTTCTGACCTCACTGAACCTTGGGGGCAGACACCTGAGCTGGATAGTGAAACCTTTGGAAAGCGTTGTTAACAGCCAAGGGTCCAAAATCAAGGCAGCCTGGTGGCTGAGATGTTGTGGGAAGAAATTATTGGTTTCTGGACTTTGGGAGTCAGGCAGATTGCATACTGAATATGTGGATTATATGATTTTCTTCAACATGGACCTCATTCTCTCTGATCATGAAGGCGAGTCCATAGAGCTAGTACAAGGTGGGAGTTCCCAGGATTTCCCATCTGATAGCTCTTGGTAAGGAGGTTATCTATAACTCTACACTGCAGGTGTGGAAAGGGCTTCACCTGGAGATACTATCAGAGAAGCAAAAGAGGCATCATTGATAGGCTTTTGATCTTGGGTAGCATCTTCCCAAGGAGCAGGGAGGGGGGGGCAAAGCTATAACAATATTTGCCTTGAAGAGATCATTTTAGACAGTAGGTAATGCTAAACCACTTGAAGTCTCTGCAGTGTCTTTGGATTTTCATTTGCAGAAGAAGAGATTGAATGCACTTACATAACTAACTCAAGTAGAGCCCCACTCCAGTCTCTTTTCAGAGTTACATACTTTTCTTGGAAATGTTAAAAATGTGATGAAAATCTTTAATTTAGCTTCCTGAACCCAAATAGATACTGTACATATGCTGCCTGGTAATCTGTCTTTCTTTTACTCTGGTTCATGCAATGTTGCATGTTGGTGAAGTCAAGTATAACAGGAAATGTTTGTGTGTGTCTGTTTTCTTGACCCAGACTGCAAGGGCGAGAGGTGTGGACTGTGTGGTGGCTCCATATGAAGCTGATGCTCAGTTAGCTTACCTCACTAAATCTGGTTTTGCCCAGGCTGTCATCACAGAAGACTCTGACCTGCTGGCATTTGGCTGCAAAAAGGTATCAAGTACTAGACCTGAATATACACAGTGTGTGTACAGACCAGGCCGTAAGTATTTGGACAGTTACACATTTAATTGTTCTTCAGGCTCTGCGCTTCAGCACATTCTGTTGGAAATGGAAAATAATGGATACTACATTAAACAGCCATGTCTCAGCTTTAATATGATTAGTTTTTGTCAATATAGAAAGAACTGTGTGGGAGATGTAGTCATTTAAACACACAGTGCCCACATCGCAAGTAATAGACAGTTAGTAGCTAAATGTTTCAGGGGCACCTGTGTGTTGTTTCAGTGTTAGTTCATGCATATTTATTGTGTTTTTTTTTGTTTGTTTTTTTAGATATATAAGGTGTGTTTCCATCAGCTATATACATTTCTCAAGCTTGTAGATGCATCAAGCACTTGAGGGCCCCCAGCTCCATGTTTGACACTTTGTTTAGTTTTGGAAATTGTCCTGTTTGTTGCATAAACCGATGCTGCAGCCATCCGCCGTCAAACTGTGGAACAATATGTTGATCAATATTCATGAGGGATTGGTCAAACATGGTGATGGTTCTGTTATGGCCTGGGAACTTAATGGTTTCCAATGGAACTGGTACATTCATTAAAGATTTCACTGATGGAAGCAACAGGATGAATGCAGAGGTATACAGAAGTATTCTCTACGCTCAGATTCAGTCAACACTCATTATTCAAGACCAGACTTAAGGCAGAGACTCCAGGGGGGATACAGAGAGTATGCTGATGTCTGCTGGCTGAAAACTTCAGGTTCATTGACTGCAAAGTATTTTCCACACAATATCAAATATGATGATTTAGTTTGACTTAATGTGTCTCTTAATGTGTCCTTTGTATTTTTGAACCCCTTAACTTTGCACACTATATGTTAAAAAGTATATATCTGCCATTATATTGATGTAAACCTGCTCACATTAAAGACTGAGAGATATGGCACTTAAATGAACTATCCATTACATAGTTTCACATTGAATGTGCTGAAGCTCAGAGCCTGAAGAGCAAAAAACTGTGACTGTCCAAACACTTACAGTCTGGTCTGAACAGACAGGAAATCTGATGGTTGTATGATGAAGGTTATGTTGATGATGTATGGTGATGTTATTGGGTCCCATCATTCAAATTAGATCTCTCTCCGGGTCCCATCTCTACATGTGTAGGTCTACAGTCTTTTTTAGCCTGGCCTAATGCAGTATGAATTATAGTCTAGGTGCAGAGATATGTGTGATACACAGTATGTAAGTAACTTTATAGTTCAATAATGCTGATTATTGAAGACCATGGCATAAGAAGACCTGTACCCTCTAGTGTGTGTGCATGTGTGTTTGAGATAGAAAGAGAGTGTGAGAGTGTGACAGAGAAAGGACTTGTAATCACAGCCTAGCCTGTCGCACAAATGTTTCTGCAAGATATTTATAAGTTAGTCAGAATGCTCCTTTGTGTGGTTTTGGCCTAACCCGTCTGAATCTGTGATAGTTCCTCGTAAACTAACCCAAACCAGGCCAACCCTCGGGTTATGGGTCGACACATGTATCACTATTATTCAGTGTTTGTGCAGGGTTTGTTAGGTTTACAGCAAAACATGTTTTATAGAGACAAATATTTACTAATCAATCGTGTTTCACTATCATTTAGGTGATCCTCAAAATGGACAAGCAGGGCAACGGCCTGGAGATAGACCAAAGTAACCTGGGCCGCTGTCGCGCCCTGGGCAACGTTTTCACAGAGGAAAAGTTTCGGTACATGTGCATCCTCTCTGGCTGCGACTATCTGGCCTCTCTGCACGGCATCGGCCTGGGCAAAGCCTGCAAGCTGCTTCGGCTAGCCAAAGACCCTGATATCTTGAAGGTGAGAAGAGTCAAAGTGGATTAAGCATTTAGCAAGGTAACTACTGTTTGAACTGGGGATTCCAAAGGTTCCTCACTTTTAAGAGGGATAGATCAATATGGCAAATGACGCTGCACACCGGCTTCTGAGGAAAGTATTAGGTTATCAGACTAAAACCTACACATCTCTTCTGTCTCCCCAATCAGCTCGTCCAACAGATTTAAAGTGAGACTCTGAATGAAAGAAGAGAGAACACATTCTTTCTGTTGGAAATGAAAAGTTCAATTCATAAGCAATAATCGACAATTACTCAATTCTGGTATGACCACTCGCTTATGTTTGCTTATGTTGGCAATATTGTTCTTTAACTGACTTAATGGGTCAGTTTACTAAATTTATGAGTCTTGACTGTGAAAGTTAATTCTTGGCCTTGGAGATAGTCGGTTGACAAAATAATCTTAATTGAAAATAGGGTTTTGCTGATGGACATTGAGCTTTTCCAATGTCAAGACGATAGTTGGTTTGTTTTCCCATTTACATATTAAATGATCTGTACCACTTTACAATAAGACTGCCCTTATGAAGGATTTATAAATGGTTTATAATTAGTTTATTCATTCAGTTGTTAACACTTACCATAAGTCAACATCATACGTTAACAATTATAGTTAAGCTATAACACAGTTTTCATACATTGATGCAGGCTCACTATTTGGCAAGATCAAGTTAATGCTTGCTACTTGTTAATATTAATGAGTAACTACCCTTTATAACTGGTAAAAGGTGCCTTATAGTAACTCATTAATAATTGGTCATGTGTTTTAACCTTTTGCCAGTTATAAATGTTTGAAACTGATAAACAAATGGTTGTAAAATGAGATGAAGAAAAATTAAGATGCTGGGAGGAAAAGCAGCTCAGTGAACAACAGAGATGTGAACAGAGGGACAAAGAATGGGTGAGCAGTTCACTAGTTAAAGGAAGGTTGCCAACTGTCTTCTACCTGGAATGCTAAAGTCCTAAAGAAGAGACCAACCAGCAAAAAGCATCTCCATCTCCACACACATTCCGATCAGCTGACTGTCATTTAGCACTGTTTTGTTGTTTGTGGGTGCTGTTGCAGAAATCAATACAGACAGACAGACAAAACACGTCACTTAATTTGGTTCCTTAGCAGCTGATTTTTGTGGTTGAGCTTTCTTTGTAAGTAAAACTCAACACCCCCACCTTCCCATGATCATATCAGCCACTGGTAGGTTCACAGGGTGACAACAGGACGATCTGACTGTGGATAAGATAGTGTAACCCTAACTCAAAACTAACTTTTTGCAGAGCTTCAGCCACATCCCAGTTTGCTCAAATGTCATGGAGATAGCTCACTTATCACCAAGCTTGTAGGTGGACCTTCAGTTAAAATTATTCACATTTATGACTCTTCTCTACTGTTGCAGTACATTTGAAATGAATCATTATCACATAACTGTCACTTGTTGCCACAAATGATGCTGTTCAACAAACGTTACAGTGGCTCTCTTGAAATAAAATATCAGTTCAGTTCAATATGTTCTGAACAGAAACATTGAATCCAGTAAGTACAAAAATTAATATCTGTAGAGTAGAATACAAATCTTACCTTGCACTGAAAATGTCATGTAAATCATATGATTGTCACACAAGAGTTAGTTCCTGTTTCCAGTAGGTGGCGCTGTGACTATAGTATAATATCAGTATGCAGATTAGGATAAACCAACAATGATCTTGGAATTGGACAATATGTCATGGACATAAAGCGACTTCCTGTTTCGTATTTAACTCGCCACCAGAACCACGCCCTTAATTGAAAACTCAAAATTGACATGCATGAAGCATCAGCATTTTCAACAAATTTTATTTCTGACCCTTTTTTTGAGGGCTAGGTCAACTATAGGAATAATAATTAAAAAAAGAATCATAATATCACATGTTGCCATGAGGTGGTGCTATGACTATTACTAATTATGGACATATAGGTCTGTTCAGGGCAGGACTCTTTTCATACATATAAGCCATGGGGCTGTTTGGACAATGCACGCTGGAGTTATAGCGAGTTGAATTTTCATGGCGAAGGATTCAAATTCCTACAGTGAAAACTCAAAAGCGGGCCATCGCACTCTTGCGGATGCCGGGGGCGTTGGTGGTAGGCCAGCCACAGCCGCCCTGCTTGGACGTGACCATCACGCTCACGAGGAAGATTTCTCACTTGGACCATATGGCGGAGAAAGCGTATTGCATGAAAGATGCACCACACATCCATTATCTTGCTGTACATCAAGTGCAGACCAGACCATGAAAATCTCACGTACATCAAATGATGATATTCTCTCCAGGGTTATTTCCTGTATCCAGTAGTTGGCACTAGGAGTTTGACTTGATATTACCATGAAGTTGTCTTCAGTGTGGAACAGTCATTAAACTTGTGAAGTGTGTGGCAGATTGGGCAAGGTATACTATAGTTGTAATAACTTCCTCTTTAATGGCAAAGCATCAAAACTCCCCGCGTTGGCACCGCCATCCCATTTAACTCACAACTACTCAAACTCAAACTCTAGGAGGAGTTTGTCATTGTCTGACGTTTACGGTGTGGGTCCAAGAGACTTTTTTGTAGAACTCCATGGGATACACATGCCTACCAATTTTCATCCATCTAGGTGAATTCTACTGCAGGGGCTACTGTTAAACATGACATTCTTCTGTCATGGCGAAGCCACGAAATTCGCCACGGACATGCCGTTCAACGACCGTGAAAAAGCTTTGCTAGTTAACATCACACTGGTCTTAAGATTGTGTGAAGCCAATATGTAGGTGATCTGATAGTATAAAGTACGAAGCCTGAAAATTACAACAAAATGCTACAAACTTGCACACTAACTTCAAAATCATGGATTTCCAGTTGGGTTTAGCTTATGGGTCCAAGAGGCTTTTTTGTTGCTCTCAACATGGTAGACATGGCTACCGAATTTCATACATCTAGGTCAAACGTGCTGGGGGGGCTACTTGGTTGAAATTTTCTAGGGGGCGCCCTTGGGCCGTTTTGTCATGCCCATGATAAACTCCTCTTGCATTAACCGAGTTGGGCAACATTGAATGCATGCACCAAATCTGGGGTGTAGGAGCACTGCTGGCCCCTCAAAAATTCTGAAAGTCATTAGGGGGCGCTATAGGGCCGACGTATCATGCCCATGCCCAATGCTGTTATCAAGAAAACTGTTCATAAGTACAAACATACAAACTTGTCTGCCAAGTTTTTGTGAGTATTTGCACATCCTAAATGCCTCAAAACTTTGTTCGTAAAATGAAAATTGCTGCCAAAATAGCCCACTTCCTGTTTGGCTAAAAAATTTCAAAAAATATGGAAAAAATCCTTTATTATATGTGGAATCATCCCATCCAATTTCATGAACATCCAAGGACCTCAATGTTGACAAGGCCCTACGTTGTGCAATGTGCAATGATAGCAATATTAATAGTTGTGATAGTAGTGGCAGTAACAGCAATAGTAATGTAATGGCAACTGTAGTGCTCCAACTGATCAACTTTTCTGGATGGTAACAATTCTAGCTGCAGCATTCTGAAGCATTTGAAGACTTTTAATATGAGCATGTGGCAGGCCGGTATACAAAATGTTACAATAATCAAATCTTGATGAAACAAAAGCATGAATTAAGATTTCAGCATCAGTCTTAGACAGAAAAGACAGAATCCTAGCTATGTTATGTAGCTGTTATGTATGAAAAAAGGCAGTCTTGGTGATATCTTTAATGTGCTGTTCAAAGGAGAAGAAAGAATCGAAAGTGACACCCAGATTTTTGTCAATCAGACTATGAGAAATAACACAGTTATCAAAAGTTATTGTTACTTGATCAAACTGGTGTCTATGTCGGGTCAGGCCAACGACCAGCATCTCAGTTTTGTCTGAATTTAGGAGCGAAAAATTATGAGACATCCACCATCCATCAAAATGGAAATTAATTGATTGATTAATTGACTGCGAATAATTTGACCAAGAGGTGAAATATATAGAGAGAAAAGCAGAGGGCCAAGAACAGAGCCCTGGGGTACTCCATATTTGACAGCAGAGTATGTTGATATAGTGTTATTATAGGAGATGTACTGTGTTCTGTCAGATAAGTAGGACTTTAACGGAGTGACAGGCCAGGGCCAAGGCAGCCTGGAACGGTTCAAAAAGATTATTAGACAAATGAGACGAAAGCTCCTGAGACACAACTCTTTCCAGTACTTTAGAAAAGAAAGGAAGGTCTGAGACTGGTCAATAATAATTCAAGGATCCTGGATCAAGGTGCGGTTTTTTAAGTAAAGGTTTCACCACAGCAGTCTTAAAGCTACTGGGAGCAGCTACTTTGAGTGATAAATTAATAATGTTCAGCACTGAAGGTCCCAAGATTGGCCAAAGGTCTTTGGAGAGCCCAGCTGGTAGAGGGTCCAGCAGACAGGTGGTGGGTTTAGAAGCCAACACCAGCTTAGACAGTGCTTCAAGAGATAGAGTCTTGAAATTTGTTAAAGGAGAAGTTAAAAGGGACTCACTGTAATGCTTTGCTGGTTCTGTAGAAGCTGGAGAAGAAGAGGTGATTTTATGTCTAATCTATTTTATTACTGAAAAAGTCTAGAAAGGTGGTGAGAGGAGCAACTGAGTCCAAGAGAGTGAAAATATATATTGTATGTATGTGATTAAAATCACACCCATGAATACATGTCTACACATTTGCTGTGTCAGGTGATCAGAAAGATGGGCCAGTACCTGAAGATAAGTCTGGTGGTTCCTGAACAGTACATCGAGGGATTCATCAGAGCCAATAACACCTTCCTCTACCAGCTGGTCTTCGATCCTGTCAGGAGGAAGGTTGTACCCCTCAACCCATACCCAAAGCATGTTGACCCATCCACCCTCAGCTACGCTGGACTGTATCCTCCTGTCCTGAAGTGTCACCTCTGTAAATGTGGTTACAGTTAATCAAGGAGTGAGAAACTGTTCAGTTCTAACCTCCACCGTCTTTTCCTTGACGATGCTGAATCCAGTAATGTAGGAGATGACAAAGGCCTGCAGATGGCTTTAGGAAACCTTGACATCAACACAATGGAGAGGATAGATGACTTCAGCCCAGACAAACCCATTCCACAGGTATACGATTACAATCAGTTAAAGAAGTCCTGATGATGAAAATTATGTTGTATTTTATGTATGACACCTCTACAAATGTCTTTCCAGCTATCTAAAACTCGCAGTCAACGCTGGAATGACTCACCAGCACCCAGTGGGCCGAGTATCTGGAGCAGAGGCTTCAAGCCAGCCCCTGCTGCCCCACCATGCTCAACTGCTTCTCCAGACAGGCCTCCCTCCACCAGAGGGAAGGTGAGAGTCATCAGCCCAGAGGACCTGAGGCTGCCCTGCAGAGAGCTGCAGGTGAAGAGACCCAGGGGTGAGCTGTTACCTCTGTGTTTAGATTGTACATGTTATTTAATACAAATGTTCTCAGTAGATCAACTGGCTCTAAAGTGATCAGATATGTTTGACAATGACGGAAGGAAATACAACAATTGGCATGGACCAGGTGGGAGAGTACCCTGCAGCGCAGGATCACTTGGTCTAACATCTTGCAGGCGGATTTCGGTCGCGTCCGGTTCCTGGTGCAGGCAGTTTATGATGCCCTGCCAAGCCCAGCAAACCTCCATGTCTGGGGAAAGAGTGATACACCCTCATGCCCGCTTTGCTCTGGAAGAGGCTCACTGGAACATCTCCTCAGCGGCTGCCCAAAGGCCCTGGCAGATGGCCGCTATCGTTGGCGACACGACCAGGTGCTCAGGGCAGTTGCAGAGAGTGTAGCTTCAGCCATTAACACCGGCAAACATCACCGCCCACCAAAAAACGCAGTCACCTTCATCAAAGCTGGGGAGAAACCACAGGCTCGGTCAAGACAAACAACAGGCCTTCTCCATACAGCCCGTGATTGGCAGTTGCAGGCTGACTTGGGAAAGCGGCTGATATTCCCACAGAATATTGCAACAACCTCGCTCTGTCCGGACATGATCATCACCTCTGAGGCTACGAAACACCTGATCATGCTGGAATTAACAGTGCCCTAGGAAGAGCGCATAGATGAAGCCAACAAGAGGAAACGTGCTAAGTACCAGGAACTAGTGGAGCAGTCAAGGGGGAGAGGCTGGAAAACTTTCTATGAGCCCATAGAGGTCGGCTGCAGAGGATTCGCAGGACACTCATTCTGCAAGGTCCTCACTCGGCTAGGCATCACAGGAGCAGAAAAGAAGAGGGCTATAAAATCCGCCAGCGAAGCCGCAGAGAAAGCCACTAGGTGGCTTTGGTTGAAGAGGGCTGATCCGTGGGTAGCTGCTGGGACGCAAGTCGGGGTCTGATCAGCCCCGACTGGGTCGCCTATGTTGTAAGACCCGAAACGCCTGATGACCTCGGGTTCACAACAATGATGATGCGTCCCAGAGTGCATCCCGGAGATGTTTCTTGAATATTGTTTTTATTTTATAGAGCATCTACACATAAAAAAGATCTGCTTATTTGTCTGGTCTTATGTAACTAGATTGCTTTGGTCATTATGGGTTCAACTAACTCAGGAGTGTTTGTTTTAATTAAATATGCTGGTGCTGTAACTGATCCTTTAAGGAAACTGAGTCACTGTGGCAGCAAAGTACTAGGAGGATAATACAAAAAGGAGAAATACTAGTAAAAAGTAACAGTGTAAAACCTTTTATAACAAAGAAAAAAAAGATATTTTACAAAAGTAAAAAATAATGCATTGATAATGAATACAGATTGTTTCTTTGATTATGTGTGTGTTGATTATTCATATGATGTACAGTTTTAAGCATTTTTTTTTTATTTTTTATCACAGTTGAACTTGTTTTTCCTCCCATAGACTCCAGTATCTCAGACCAGGATATGCTGCAGCAGTACTCCTCCTCCAGTCAGAAACGATCTCGGTCAGACCAGCAGCCTGACAAGCCCACCTTAACCTGTCCCTCCCTGCCACGCAACCGTTTCGCTACCCTGCTGCAGAGGAGGAACCAGGAGGCTGAGGGGGATGGCCAGGCCACACGCAGCAGGTGACCTTAGTTAAATCATTACCCACCATTCTAGAGACACAAGTTACTTAGTACTTAGAGTGCTTTAGGGTAAACAAATTTAACTGTACTACCGTATGCACATAGAACACAGAATTGCATGCCTTTAAATGCATTTGAATGTGTCACTGATTGGGGTTCACTTTTCACAGTAATAAACTATTACTTAATTTGATTATTTGGGCTCAAGATAATTTATTGAGTTTGTGTGGTGGAGGTAAGTTGGTAAATGGAGGATCAGAGAAAGAAGTGTTTTAACATCTAAAAATGAATCATCTGAAATTTGAAGTTATTGTGATTTAAAACATCCTCTTAAGGAGGTTGTAGGTGGACCTCAGGTAATACAGTAGTAATTACTTGTTATTTGAATGATATAAATGAGGACAGAAAAAGTCTAAATGAGAAAATGTAGCAACTGATCTGACAAATGATCCTCATAAAAAATGGGACGTGTGATGGTTCAAAAACAGAGTAAAACCATCTAGTTAACTCAAGGAAATAGCTTTAGATTTGACGAAATAATCTGTCACTTTCTTTCTGAGAGTGAGATTGGAAGATTGACAATCTCATGCCAGTGCTTTAAGTATGGAGTCGGGATGTGGTTAGCCTTGGGGTTAGCCAGGGTGTGGTTAGCTCAGCTCAGCATAAAGACTAGGAGAATGGGATAAAAGCTGATTTGACCAAATGAAATACAAAAGATTCTGCAATCTTTAAGGCCCTGGTCACACCAGAACATGCTAACAGTTACTTGCCTATTAAACGCTAACATTCTAGCCAGCACATGCTATAGCTCTTCAGTCACAATAGCTCTCCAAGTTAGCTATGTTGCTGTTAGTTAGTGAGCTAGCATGGTTACAGACACCTGTTCATACCCTCGATTCCTGTCTCATAAATACAAACCAGGCCTTTTTCATTGAGCAGTTTATACTCAGGCAGAACTGTGTTTATATAAAAGTGAGTGGTCTAACACAGCCAACAGGCCATGATAGCAGTTTGTTATTGGTCAACAGGGCAAAGTTTCCATAGGCTGAACTTTTCTCAGAAGACTTGTGTGGATCGACGTTGTCCTGCAACGACAGTAAAATGAACAGATTTTTAAATGCTGATGTGAATGTGGCTTCAAATTGTAGCTCATCTGTTTAACCTATAAATGGTAAAAGCCACAATTTGTGCTTTTAAGAGTTACATGTTGGAACTATCTCAGACAGGGAGGTTGCCAGGTTTGATATCACCGTGCCTGTGCAAGAGCCAAAACCTGTAGCCAGAGATGCAGCACAGAAGTATTTGGTGGATGGATACACTACTGTTTGTCAAGAAATAGTCCCAGCATGTCGTAACTACCCCTAAAGCCACAGGTTGCTGTTAATTATACAGATGTAGGTGTGGTGGCATAATTTTTAACTTTGGGCAGAGGCAGGCTAGCTGTTTCCCTCTGCTTCCAGTCTTTATGCTGAGGTAGGCTAATCACAGCCTGACTCCAGCTTTATGCTGAACAAAGATGTGAGACAGATGCATCTTCTCCTGGATGTAATGCTGATTATATAGGCAGGGATATTATTATATAGGCTGGGTATGATACTTGGAGTCAAGCTGGAGGCAACTCATGTAGAAGACAGGCACTCAATATGTAAAGTAAATACTGGGACATACTTCTGCTTAAAGAGGCCTGAACTCTCAGCAGATAGTGGTTGTAAGTTGTCTGCATAATATCCTTAGCATTGTTTGTTATGCCTCCAGAGCCTATTGTTTTCGGATTGTCCGTCTGTCTGTCCCATTCTCGTGGATGTGATATCTCAGTAACACCTTGACAGAATTTCTTTAAATTTGGCACAAACATTCACTTGGACTCAAGGATGAACTAATTAGATTATGGTGGTCAAATGTTAATATTTTATATGATTCTGGATAAACAGGAATGTAATCTGAAACTATTCTGAGTGGCGGAGGCAGACAACCACGAGGAGATGATTCTAGTTGCTGTTGAATCTCACAAACGGTGTAGACCTGTGACATCATCAGTTCCAATAATTGCACACCTGTCGTGTCAATGGTTTTAAAGTGAATCTAAAGGCTTGAACAAACCTGCCACCAAACCTCTGTCCTCTGTTTTGGATGAATCTGACTCTTCTATGTGTTGAGTAACAGTGGATCTCCTGGTATTCATCTTCTTGTTTAACATTGGTGTATTTCACAAAATGTTGAACCCGTTCTGTACTTGTGATTACAACATCTGCAAAAATGATACTGTGATCATTTTTGTCACAGTCATTCAGCTTTAGTTAGCATTAAGGCTACCTTTGTATGTTATCCTAATGTGGTTGTGTTTATTCCCACATGTAGATTCTTCAGTTCCAGTTCAACAGTCAGTGTGAGCCCTAAGCATTCTGCTCAGGAGGATTCACATCACAGTGTGGAGCCCACAGCTGTCAGCCCCATGCAGTCCCAGTCCTCTCCCAACACCCAGACTGATGACAGTGATGGTCCCAGTGTTCCATCTGTGGACCCCCCCATCCCATCTCCATCACCTAGAACTCCGTCCCCCAGTTCAGCCAGTCAAGGCCTCAGGCTGTTCCACTGGTCCGGTAGCTCCTCTTACAGTGAACAATCAAAAACACCTCAGGGCAACTCAGGCCTCGCCGCCCTGCAGCACTTTGAGTATAAGAAGGAGAGTTTTTCCTCTTCTGCAAAGACCCACAGTCCCTCTGGAGAGGAATCATCCTCATGTCCATCCTCCACTGACAGAGACCCAGAGGAGAAGTACAACCTCCCAGACTCCCCTCCGTCCCAGGATAGTGCCTATGGCTCCCAGTCCCAGCCATACCTTGCATCCTGCCACAAAGAGCAAGTCCGCACCGAAAGTTTCCACTCCTCCCACCAGGAGGATGCAGTTTCTGTACGTACATACAAATCTCCATTAGCGTTATAAATGTCTCTATATCCCCTGTGGTTGGGTCAGCCTCAACACATGCATCATCATCAGAGTTTCATGAATATGTGTGCAGAAAGCTATTTTGGGGGCTTGGTTTGGTGTTTTTAAGTGTGTTTCCTTTGTTTCGTCAGGAAATGAATTCACCCAGCGATTCAGAGCCAGAGCAGAGTCCCACACACCCAGCTAAGAAACCCAGCACTCTGAGAGCAAATGTGAGTTTGTATTTCAGTTACATCCAACATTTTTGCTTCTTTACTATTGGACAGTGAAGGAGTGTTGTGTCAGCCTGCCTTGTAGAGCTTCAAACAACTAAAGAATTTCATTAGTATGGGTTTTTAGCATTGGATATAAGGTGGTAATGAGGTATAATATATATAATATAAACCATCCATCCATTAGTGTAGCGTGAACACCACAATTTAGAATTTGCTCTCGTTGAAAGGGGGCACCAGTCCTTGGGGAGGACAACAATGAATTACTTCATTGATTAACGCGATCAATCTCATATCAGAAGGTGTGACCTCTGAATTCAATGGATCTCCAGTCTCTACTTCAAAAGAAAACAACAGGACAACAACTGCCAGTGTCTCAGCGCTTCAGCTCTGGTGGAGTTTGCCAGGAGACTTTCTGTCTCGGGCATTCTTGGCTTCATGTAGGCCTCTCTGCAGGCGGTCGTGCGCAGATGTCTTATCTGCCGGTGTCTCCTGTGGGTTGATGCGAAATAAAGTCTAAGGCACTTCGCTTTGGCTAGATAACTTTAGAGGAGACTGGCGTTGACCAGATCACTCTAAAGTTGTCAAAATCTTCAAAAATTAAACGTGATGATTAAGTTACAAAAATTACTCTGAGGCACTCCTGTTGTTTTGGTTCAGTTGGTCTTGACTTGGCTTATAAAAATAAAAGATCGCGTGTGTGGACTAAAAGAATGTTTCTTGGAGCACATGGCAAAGAAAGAATAAAGAACGCGGACAAAATGATAAAGTGCAAAATTCATGAATTCATGCAGGCTTCTCATATAGCCAATGGTAACCATTGCTTTGGCTGTTTTAAATTACCAGCGTCCGAAAACAAAGACATTTTACTAGATTTTCCATTTATTTGGAATATTATTATCATTGTTATTATTATTAGGCTTGGCCGATGATATTGAATATTGAAATTTTTTTGCCATACTGCTGAGCTTTCCTTACTGTTCATTGAACCTTGTCATGTGACAAATGAAACCTTGAACTGCTGGTTAGTGGCAGCATCTCTTATACCTGAAATGTAAAATACAATAGTATCATTAAATTACAACTCATGTCCTGCATCTTCTCACTCAGGAGTCTCTACACTGCTGTACTAGTTTTACATGGCAGGTCTTTTTTTTTTTTTCAGCGTATCCCTGATTCATGAAATTCACTTGTGAATGTACACTCACTGGCCACTTTATTAGGTACACCTTGCTAGTACTGGGTTGGACCCCCTTTTGCCTTCAGAACTGCCTTAATTCTTTGTGGCATAGATTCAACAAGGTGCTGGAAACATTCCTCAGAGGTTTTGGTCCATATTGACATGATAGTATTGCGCAGCTGCTGCAGATTCGTCAACTGCACATCCATGATGTGATTCTCCTGTTCTACCACATCCCAAAGGTGATTTATTGGATCGCGAACTGGTGACTATGGAGGCCATTTGAGTACAGTGAACTCATTGTCATGTTCAAGAAATGTTTGAGATGATTTGAGCTTCGTGACATGGTGTGTTATCCTGTGGGAAGTAGCCATAAGGTAATAAGGGGCCCAAAGTGTGAAAAATATCCCCCACACCATTACACCACCACCAGCCTGAACCATTGATACAAGGCAGGATGGATCCAAGCTTTCATTTTGTTTACGCCAAATTCTGACCCTACCATCCAAATGTCACAGCAGAAATCAAGACTCATCAGACCAGGCAATCTTCTATTGTCCAGTTTTGGTGAGCCTGTGTGAATTGTAGCCTCAGTTTCCTGTTCTTAGCTGACAGGAGTGGCACCCAGTGATGGTCTTCTGCTGCTGTAGCCCATCTGCTTCAAGGTTTGTTGTGTGTTCAGAGATGCTCTCCTGCATACCTCAGTTGTAACATTCTCCTATGACCTCTGGCGTTAACAAGGCAGAGGCCAGAGAACTGCTGCTTACTGGATATTTTCTCTTTTTCAGACCGTTCTCTGTAAACGTTAGAGATGGTTGTGTGTGAAAATCACAGTAGATCAGCAATTTCTGACGTACTGGTTAACTGGAAATACTATGCCAACAACCATGCCACGTTCAAAGTGACTTAAATCACCTTTCTTCCCCATTCTGCTGCTCGGTTTGTTCTTCAGCAGATCGTCTTGACCATGTGTACTTGCCTAAATACACTGAGTTTCTGCCATGGTGTATTAGATATTTGCGTTAACGAGCAGTAGAAAAGGTATACCTAATAAAGTGGCCGTTGAGTGTATTTAAATACTTGTATTTACTTGTCATTGTGTTAAAAGTTATATTTAATGTGCTGTTTTGATAACCAAACGGTTAAGACTCATCCCACATCACAGCAGCACCCTGTCTGTCTGTGTACTGTCTGCTCCCCAGTAAAGACAGCAAAAAAAAAATCAGATTAAATTAATATTTAATGACAGTGATTTTAAACTTGCAGTATATACAAATAAATAGAGGGAGTGAGAGAGTCTCAGGTAGGTAAACCCCCTGTTCTCTCTCCCATCACAAATACTTTTTAATGCAGCTGAATCTCAATAATTAACCAATAACCAAGTCTCTAAAATATTTCTGTATACCAACTCACTAGAGGATTGTGGGAGTCCGTGTTGAGGCCTCTAAAGCCCCTGCAACACACACACAGCGGCTAGAATGGCAGTGGATTATTAAACTCACAATTCAGAAATGATGATGCCTTTTACAGCAGTTCAGCAGTTTGTGTTTTCCTCCGTGTTTTCATCTTGTCCTCTGTACGTGGTCTGTCTGCCTCCAGGTCTCAGGTCTGTCAAAGCTGAAGTCCATTAGCCCGGGTCAAGCAGCAAAGGTGCAGATGTTGGGCCCAGCCCGGGCCAGTGGACTGAGGAAGAAGTCTCTGGGCTCTGGGAAGAAGATCTCTTCTGCCAATAATGAGAACAACCCTGGTGTCCAGACCACCATCAGCAGCCTCTGGAAGAACTTCAGCTTCAGAAAGTAAGAGAAACCCTCCAGTTACTGAAGTGCAACTCTAATCACTTTGTCTACATGAGTCTTAAAATCTGCTTTCAAAGGACTGTGGCTGGTAAATATCATGGAACATAATGGAAGTTTTAAGAATTCAGTCCTCTGTTCATCATGGATGTGTTAATCTGTGGATGAGGGACCCAGTAGTGTTGCTTTCGTCAACGAAAATTATGACTAAATATCTTCGTCAACGAACCTTTATCACGTGACGAAAACGAGACGAGACGCAACGTAAATGCTGGTCATGTGACGATAACTATAATTAAATATATAATGCAATATTGTTGACGAATAAAAACGAGACTAAATTTGGTTTACAAAATAAAAACTCTGCTAAAATGTCTCTTCATTTTCGTTGACTAAAACGAGACGAGATGAAATGTTATAACGTCATTTCGACTCGTTTAGTCGAGTTATTATTATTTTGCAGTATTTCTGTTTCCTGTGTCTCACATCATCAGGTCGCACTGCGCCGACGCATGCGACGTCACTTCCTCAATCCCCACTCGCGGGCGGCATTTAGAAGTTGCAGCTGCGGTTGAACGACAATTTCAGAATCATAACGCGACAGAGAAAAGGACCGATGGCCGGCAGCCAGTCGGGGTTCTTCTTTGGAAGAAAAAGACGAAATGACATTTGGACACACTTTCATTACATAGAGGTGGAAAAAAACCCAGAATGTGTTGTGGAAAAAGATGGGGAGAAATGCGGCCACAAAACCACAGGAAAACACGTTTGGTTGGTAAAATAAATATGTTGTAAATTCAAATCAGAGCGTCTTGTGTGTCTGGAATGGATGTATTCTTGAGTCTATAAGGTAACAATAATATAATAATAAGGTAACCTTGTTTGAACTGTGAAATGGGTTTGGCTAAAAGAAAATTTTGGTTTTGTCCATACTACTAGGTACTTATACTATACTGGGTTAAATAGAATTGCATTACTAGAAAGAGACTAAAATAAAATTTTCGTTGACTAAAACTAGACTAAAATGTCATCAGTTTTCGTCGACTAAAACTAGACTAAAATAGTCATGGATGATTCTGACTAAAATAAGACTAAAATGCTCAGACTTTTAGTCGACTAAAACTTGACTAGACTAAAAAGAGTATGAACGTGACTAAAACTAATAAAAACTAAAATGACAGCTTGACACAAAGACTAGACTAAAACTAAAATTAAAACAGGCCGCCAAAAACAACACTAGGACCCAGACATGCTGGATGTTTAATTTTTCATCTTCATTAATATCTTTCTCCCTCTGTCTGACTGAGCACTTGAATGACCTGAGAATCATAAGACCATAAATAAATACGACCAATAAACAGTCGACTGGATTAGAACAGCTCATTTCAATAAGGAGTTGTTATTAAAAGTGGATTAAATCAGAGTATCATCTGCTGTAAAGGCTGAAATGAACATTAATAGGTATGTGGGGCTGTGTGATGTAACGGCTAGTGAACAAGTGAGATCAGCTGGTGAACTCGATTTGGAATATCTCAGAAATTCAAAATAGATAAAAATCACCCTTTATAAAGGGTTTACAAGTAGTAATTAATGACTTCATAAATGTACTAATTCTTCATAGTGCAGTTATGAAAGGCCATTAATGAGAACACAGTTTGGGTGTGAACAGTCTCTCTGTCAGGATGACACTGCTTCTGTTCCTCAGGTCAATGAACTGTTTGACCTTTGACCACTAGAGTCACAAAGCATCTGGACCAAAATCCATTTCCTAACGACTAATTGCTTATTCACTAAGCCCCACCCTCCTGTAACTGTTCACCTGTCAGTCTTTCCACAGATGCAGCTTACCATGATAACACAGAAGTGGAAAAGCAGCTTCGCAGGTGACAGCTGTTGATTTTCTCACCTGAAGTTAGCCAGTAAAACGCACTGTAACTGTAACTTCTGCCTCTAGGGCTCTCTAATCAAAACAATAACAAAAGACTGCATTGGGTGTCGTCATGAAATGGCGTGGGATCATGGGAGTTGTTGTCTTCATCACCATTACCGTAAGCTCCTCCCGGTTTGGATTCCTTCAGTGTCAGTGGTTCAGGAAATCAAACAGACCCGGTGATTCTAACAATTAAAAACACTGAATAAAGCAGTTTGACTTTTAAAGTCAGTGTTTGAGCGACGCTGTACGGAGGACAGAGACTCAGGGAAGAGTTGGAGCTGAGACTGATGCTAAGCTTTATTGTGATTGTTTCTCTGATAGCAGATGTTCAGCAGGTTTTTACCAGCAGATGAATTATCCACAGAGGTAGGTAAAGGCAACAACGCCCTAAAGATAACTTTTAAAAAATCATTGATTCACCGACGCTGGACGGTGGACACATGACGTATAGTTGGAAACTGAGACTGCTTACCTTTGATTCTTTAATAACTTATGAACCAGACGTCAGGAGGTTTTAACTGGTAGCTGAATAATTCACAGTGATCTCCTCTCCATAACGAACACACCAGGGGATTAAAACCAGTAGAAACACCTACAGATATGTTCATAATAATAGCAGTGTGTTTAAAAAGGTGAGTAAACCTCAAAATTCTTCAAATAAATTGTATTTTAATGAACACAAATGCATTGGGGACACTGCACATTCTATTTCAAAGCAAGAAAATTGGAAAAAGTAATTGAATTTGATAATATTTTACAGAAAGTCAAGAAATATAATGTTCAAAAAAATAGCAGTGTTGACATCTTTCTTTACAAACTCAAAAATGTACTGTATAAACCAAGAAATGCTTGAAGATTCAACTTTCCTGAGAATCATAAACTAATATTTAGTTGCATAACCACGGTTTCTGATAACTGCTTCACATCTGTGGTATATGGAGTCGACCAACTTCTGGCACCGGTCAACAGGTATTGCAGCCCAGGACAATTGTACTATGTTCCACAATTCCTCTGCATTTCTTGGTTTTGCCTCATGAACAGCATTTTTTATGTCAGCCCACAAGTTTTCTATGGGATTAAGGTCCGGGGATTGTATTGGCCACTCCATTACTTGAATTCTGTTTGTCTGGAACCATGATTTTGCTCGCTTGCTGGTGTGTTTGGGGTCATTGTCTTGTTGAAACACCCATTTCAAGGGCATTTCCTCTTCAGCATATGGCAACATGACTTCTTCCAGTATTCTGATGTACTCAAACTGAGCCATGATCCCTGGTATGCGATAAATAGGACCAACACCATAGTACGAGAAACATCCCCATATCATGATGCTTGCACCACCATGCTTCACCGTCTTCACTGTGTACTGTGGCTTGAAGTCAGTGTTTGCAGGACGTCTGACAAACTGTCTGTGGCCCTTAGACCCAAAAAGAACAATCTTACTCTCATCAGTCCACAAAATATTACACCATTTCTTTTTAGGCCAGTCAATGTGTTCTTTGGCAAATTGTAACCGCTTCAGCACATGTATGTTTTTTAACAATAGGACTTTGCGGGGGCTTCTTGCTGGTAGCTTGGCTTCACATAGACGTCGTCTGATTGTTACAGTACTCACAGGCAATCTTAGATCTTCTTTGATCCTCCTGGAGCTGATCATTGGCTGAGCCTTTGCCATTTTGGTTATTCTCCGATCCATTCGAATAGTCGTTTTTCTTTTTCTTCCTCGCCTTTCTGGTTTTGGCTGCCATTTTAAAGCGTCTGATATCATTTTAGCTGAACAGCCTATCATTTTCTGCACTTCTTTATAGGTTTTTCCCCTCTTTTATTAATTTCTTAATCAAAGAACGCTCTTCTTCTGAACAGTGTCTTGAACAACCCATTTTCCTCTGTTTTTCAAGGACAAATGCACAGCCAGCAAATGCAGCATCAGTTGCCTTGATCCTTAAATAAGGGCCACCTGTTTAACGCCTATTTTTTTCACAGAATCAATGACCTCACTAATTGAACTCGGCACTGCTATTTTTTGAACACGCCCCTTTCAGTAAATGATTCAGTTTTACAGAATCAGCAGCATGCACATCATGCCTGTTGGGTCTGTTGGTTTTCTATACCTTTACTAAACCTTCTAGAAACTTACTTGCAGCGTAGAAGTTGAAATTCTAACAAAAACAGTGATTTATCTTGCTAGTGATGTGGGACTGCTATTATTTTGAACACAACTGTATAAAGCAGTTTACCTTTAAAAACCAGAGATTCACTGACGCTATTCAGTGACACAGGACAGGACGTCTCCAGCAGCTGGGAGCTGAGCTGTCGCACATTTCCTCAGCTTGTTTCTCTGATAACTTCAGATCCAGACGTCCGATGACGAAAATCCTTCATCTGGTTCAAAAATAGAGCTGAAAATTATAACTTTAAGCTAACATCATTCATAACATCATCTCAAGCTGATTTTTTTTTTTTAAATTTATTTATTGATTTATTTTTATAAATGTTTCCTTATTTAAAACCAAGAACCCAGTAAAATGCTGCAATCAGTTGCAATCTCAGATATGCACAAATATGTCCCCAGCTTAAGTCAGCATCCTCAGCAGTAGAAGAATTCATGTAGAAAGCATATAAAAAATAAAATAACACTATTCTTGCAGTGTAGTTAGTTCTGATTAGGAACAATGACTCTTATGTCATTCTAATACAACCCTGGTTCCTGGTTAGAGTTCTGTTCTGTTGCTGATATTTTCAAACAGTTTGTTTCCAGCACTAACTCATGTATTTTTATTAAATGTAATGTCTCCAATGTGAAGTTTGGCTGGAGTGTAATGATTCCCCCACCCAGCACAGAGCAGGACTGAGATGCTAATGCTAACCTGCACTCTGATAGAGTCTCATCCAGGACCAGACCCAGGCAGTAGAGTAGAGAAACTACAGTGGATTTGTTTGTCTCTTTAGTTACTGATGTGCTTCTTGGCCTTGGACCTACTTGATTACTGTTGTGGCTGCTAATCCAGTCAGTGAGACATGCTAATAGTTTATATTAGAGCAGATACACACACGCACACACTGTTTAATCCATTACTTACTTATTAAGATGTGATTTGACAATCACAGTATGAGTAATGGGTTTGATTAACAGTCACTGATTTGTCACTAAATGTTGCTGTTGACTTTTAATCTTTTAATTAAAAGAAAATATGTATTATAATATATAATATTATTCATATATATTATTAATATACAGTGCGTGTGTATATATATATATAATTAATATTTATATCTTCAGACTATGTGGTTTTATCAGACAGTGAGACCCTCTCTCACAGTACCAACGTACAGTATTCACTATCAATCTCTCAGTTATCAGAGATTTTCACATCCTTCCAACCCAGACGTTTTTCTAATCAATAACTTATAAATGATCTATAAAGTAAATGATCTGTCATGCATTTATACAGCTTATGAATACTGTGTAAAAAGTGGTACCAATAAATATTTATTTCATTTAAAAATGTTATCTGTCGTGATCACTGAGTATCACTGAGTTCAGTATATTCTCATGGAAAAATCAATCAATCAACCAGTCAATTTCATGATAATAGCTGTTTAACACATTGATCGCAGCAGATTCACATCATCGAAACACACTGTCAGAGAAGGAAAGGAACATTTAAACTATCTGATGTTGTTGCATCATGTCTGTGTTGATCAGTGTCTGTAGTTTGTGATGGAACAGTTGTGACACCGTGCTGCTTGTGTTTTTCAGAGACAGTCGGAAGATGACTTCCTGTAAGGAGGGAAAGACAAAGCCCATGTCTCCAGTCAAAGAAAACCTGCTGACCAGCTCAGCTCAGACAGACTCTCACCTAATCACCAGCTTCTGATGATGCTTTGAATGTTTGAGTGCTGAGCGCTCTGTGGTGGTGGGTGTTGGGTCGGGGTGGGGGTGGGGCTTTTAAATACAACATGTATGTCAATGATTTCTCATCTACTTGTTTCTGTATATGTTTTAATGTATATGTTTAAATAAAGCAACTGTCTTTTGATTTGAGTGGATCCTGGCTGAGGTTTTGAGTTTCCTTCACTACACACATGCTGAGTGTTTGCATCACAGCTGTTGTCTGTTGCTTCAGCACAGCAGTTAATCAGTTAAAGAATGTGTCACATAGTAAGACGGCTGTAAAAATAAACAATGCATACTTGTGTGTTTACTGAAAACCTTCTACCTGCATGAAGCTGAAGAATGTGGTGGTGAGACTGAAGACACAACAAACCGGCAGCGGCTCTTCACTGCTGAGGGTTTGAACTGAATCAACTCTGTTAAAGAAATTAGTAATTATAGTGTCAGGTTGTAGCAAATCTCTCATCAGATTTGTTCTTATAATCCTGCCGCAGGTTTTATTGAGCATTCAGAAAGTTTTCAGACCCCTTCACTTTTTATTGCTCCTACCATCAGTTGGAGGCATATTGTTTTCAGGTTGTCTGTCTGTCCCATTCTCATGGACACGAAATCTCAGTAACACCTTGACAGAACTTCTTCAAATTTGGCACAAACATTCACTTGGACTCCAAGATGAACTGATTAGATTTTGGTGATCAAAGGTCAAGGTCAGTGTGACCTCACAAAACACTTTTTAGCCGTTACTCAAGACTTCACAGTAATATGACAAAATTTCACACAAATGGTTCATGTTTTGACTCTGAATAAACAAGGAGGTAACCTGAAACCAGTCTGAGTGGAGGAGGAAGAGAACCATAAGGCCCTAATTCTAGTGTCATTTTTTTTTTCAAATTTTTGTTATTTTTGTTTTTCTTATGCCTTTACTTAATAGGGAAAGCGGAGAGAGACAGGGAATATGGGGGAGTCATGCAGCAAAGGGTCCAGGGACCTGCCTCTCAGGGCTCCTTGGTATGCCCATATGGTATATGCCCTCACCACCCGGCCACAAGGATGCCCCGCTTTTTTACATTTTGTTATGTTGCAGCCTCAAATTAAAATTGTTGAAATGTCCTGACTGAACCCAATCCAACATCTGCAGAGACCTGAAAATGTCTGTCCACTGACATCATCAACTCGAGAACCTGAGAGGATCTGTTGAGAAGAACGGCAGAAAATCCCAAAATCCAGATGTTCAAAGCTCCTCACGTCAGACCCACCTGCCAAAGGTGCTTCAACAGAGTACTGGGGAAAGTGTCTGAATACTTATGTCAGTGTGATACTTCAGGTTTTGTTTTCACTTTGTCATTAAGGGGTATTCAGTGAAGAATGAATTCAAATGTTTCATCATAAGGCTGCAACATAACATGTGAAAGCATCGAGGGGGTGTGAAGACTTGCATCTATGTGAGTAACAAACATATCAGATCAAATTGTTTACTGTATCTATAAATAGTGAAATCAGCAGATAAAATGCTCAGCTGTCTACAGTATACATCTGAAGTGTTGATTTTAAACTCCCCTAGGGTGATAAAGTCCACAAATTTACCCCCAAAAATAGCATCTACAACCCTTTGTGGAGGAGTCCCCACCCCTGAGTGATGTTCTGTCATCCTCCCCTGACTGTCACTATAATTCATTAGACATATTACAGAAATATAAAATAAACACAACAAACCAGTTCAGATATTTTTAAAGGTAATATACTTTCTGGCTCTCCACGTTAGAGGTGCAGCAATGGTGAGAAATTGTAACTGAGTACATTTACTCAACTCCTGTACAAATTTGAGGTACTTGTCCTTGAGTATATCTGTTTAATGATACTATATTTTTACCCCTCTGCAATTTACATAACTCACCTGTTTACATTTTATTAAGTAATGGAGAATTGAGGGCAGAGTCAGACACTGCCAAGATGATGACGGTAGAGCAGCTCACTCTGAGCTTCAAAACCACTCCTCAGAAACCTTTGGGTGATGTCATGGAGGCTATTACCATCTCCACCATGTTTGCTGTTGTGAAAAAGACGGATGTGTATGAAGGGAATTTTATTACATTAGTTATTGCTCAATGCTGCTGTGGGACAGAATACCTGAGCTGATTCAGATACCAGACATAGTTTAACCAGCCTGACTTACTATTGCTCAAGGAGCAGTGGCCTCAGTGACTTCCTCAGCCTGACACATGTGTCTTCACCTGTCCTCTAACACTCTGGGAGGACAGGTGAAGGTCTGAGGGGATTTTGTCTTAACCCCAGTTCTCTACTTTATGATGTTTATTGATTTGACCTTTTCACAATCTTGTGAAAAACATTTGTAGAACAATGCAGGACGCCACAAACAGGACTTAATCCTGCAGGAACAGGATCCGGGACCTCCCAGACCGGAACCGGCATCTATTTGATAGGATGTGGCACCTCCTCTGTCACTATTAAAATCTGTAGATAATTTTTTATGTAATGTTTATCTGTTCACCTTAAATCACTTTTTTGCCCATTTTCATCATCCAAATGTTTTTATTGGCTTTTTAATTACAAGAAGAAATAATACAAATTATCGACGAGACACACGGCATCCACAAGATATAAAGACAGTAATAACATAGAAAATACAAGCTGTTGCACATTTTACGGAGATTGTCAAATCAGTTAAGCAGGGCTTAACTGATTTGACAATCTTAAGTAAGAAAAATTTCTGTGTCTGAAATGTTTGCAGGGGTTAGTGTAGGCTGCAAGCCACACGGACAACGGCTGTGGCCCATGTTGTGACCTGTTTCAGAAAGACAAGAACACCTAATCTAATTGTTTCTCAATGTGAATCCTCTCGTTAACTTGAAAGCCCCAAATGGAAGAAAAATGCATTATCTACTCACCCATTTCCTCAGAAGCTGTAGTCTGGTAATTGCATCCAAGTCCAAGCACAACTTTCACAGCTATAAAGAATAGCCTATCCAATACGATTATCTTTCAAACTTTTCAGCCTCCGTTGGTCTCTTAACAGTGTATGTGGCAAAACAGGCCTACTGTTGTCAAACCATTTCCAAATTAGTCCAAAAGATTGATGATGATATGAAAACAAAATGAATAGCCTGTTTATTGCAGTGCTTTTTCAAAGTAGCACGGTCACATGCATTATTGAGCTGACACTTCACTGAGCCAAAGTGTAACCAAAGGTTTTTATTAATAAAGTAGGTCCACTTGATTAATACAAAATATAGGGTTCCTTATGGCTGTGTGTATATATTATGGCTGTGTGTATATATATATATATATATATAGGCAATTGAATTTGATATATAGACAGTCAAAAAAATACGCAAGAATATTTTCCATAGACATATAATTATCTATTTTTGAATCTAAAATGGCCCCAGCCCCCGCCAGAGTGCTGGAGAACTTTAAGCCATGGTTAAGTCATACTCCTGTATCAGTGTTTCTAGCACGGAACTCCAAGCCACAGTAAAACGGTTCCTAGACTCTATAAATCCCTGGGTTGATCCCCTGGTTGAGCATTTCAACCTCTCAGGCTTTAAATGCACCATCATCCGCCCAACCCAGCATCTGTGTGTCGGAGGGGTCGCTGGTTTCTTGAGAAGTAAAATAAGGCATAGGACCAGTAGAGATGAAGAGGCTATGGCGTCTAAGTGGACGCCAGATACCATCATCTCACCAGGGCCCACACCACAGACTGCAGTTTCAGGGTCAGGGCTGAGTTGCAACAACATTGTGCAGGACCAGAACATGTGATGGAGGGTGTAAAGATAGACCACTCAGGTCATTCTGTATGTGTTAATGTGCACTTTGAAACTGCGAACTAGAAAACTAGTAATGGGAACGTGAATTTTGAAAAAAAATTATACGCTCACATGAAGTGGTTTTTCAGACTATTCCACAAAGTAATATTTCACAAAATTGGAATTGAAACACTTTTTCACATTCATGGCCCATGGAGCCAGTCCTAACTGAGAGGCAGACTGCTGGAAATCTGTCGCCATGTTTAATTAAAACGATATCACGAGGGGAGAAAACCCAACTTTATTCACATAACATCACTCAATGGAAACACAGAACATTCACTATTGTGTTCTGTTACGTTTCTAAAAATAAAAAATGCTGCTATTTTGTGCAAAACTGCAATCGAAACATGGCTAGTGATGGCTGCTGCACTGTGATATAGGTCGACAGACAGAATACATCACTTAGTTTACTTTTGTAGCCTTCCTACTTTTCATGGTTGTAAACAGAACTTTCAGCCTCAATTGTAGCACAGACAGAAGGGAAATGACAGGGAAGTGGAGGGACAGTCAATGACATCTGTGTCGCAAATTAGGTTCCACATCCTTCAGAGGACATGGTCTACAAAGGTGTGGTCCTTTGTGGCCATTGTAGACCGTGAAGGCTGAACAGAAATGAGATGGTCTGGACTACAGGGCAAGCACCAGCTGTGCCCTTACTGTTGCATTGCAAATTGCAGCTCCTGTTGCTGTTTTTTACAAAGACTTGAGGTTTTAAGGTCCTTGGTTTTAACAGTTGTACTGTTAGCTGTTGAACTGAGCTGAAACACAATACTTACATTTAACATGCAGTCCTCAGGCTCTCTGTCACTGTTGTTTGGTGTCATTACTGGCACACAATGAATCTTGGGATAGGTTGGACCATGAAGGATGCATCCTTCATTGTCCAGGAAAAGAAGGATGCATTTGAAATGAATTACATAAATGGGTTACATTTTACTGTCATAAACATCTGTACATCTGTTGTAAACAGATGTTATAAACCTTTGTTATGATGTCACATGTAGAGTTTAAAATGGATTTGTGATTAGATCTTGAACATGATTGATTTGTACGTACTTGTGCAGATGTGATGAAGACAGATTTATGATTCTCCAGTTCTGTGTTATGTAATCAATGTGCAGTGTTTGGAATGTAACGACACTGAGCACAGATGAACTGGTTCCTTTGTCACATTAAACTGCACGGTA